TGGTACACCTTTCATCTTGCCTATTTGTACTGCTCGCTCTATAGTGAAACCACTCTCTTTTGTTTCAACTTTCTCGACTCTCCTAACTCGAACTCAACCAAGGCTCCTAAGCCATGGCTTTCAAGCCGATCTCTTCCTAGGGATTTTGTCACAGTATTCCCGCCACTATGCCCATACCCTTGAGCTCCTCCTGCCAACCAACGATTCTAGGTTACGCCGTTTGCCCCATATCCCATCCCTGCTCCAATTGACGGTTATTGATGAAGCGCATTGAGCTGTAGGTAGGGCATACCGTAGCAAGGTGAAACCAGTTCGTATCCACCGAGCTGGTGTACCTCCGCTCCTCATTGACCTCTGTGATCATGGGTTGAGTTGCAAAGCCCTCCACACCTGACATTCGGGCCCACATCTTGAGAAAGACCTGCATGTTATGGGTTGTGTCAATGTAGTTTCACGCAAGCTATGCGCCGAACCAGCAACCCGATATCCAAAGATAAGCTGTTAGGCGCACCTGGAATCACCAGATAAGTCCAGATCCACGGCCACCCATGCCTCATCCCCTGGAGCGAACTCCCTCTCGAACTCCTCTAGATCATAGAATGAGTTCCAGAACTGCAAGTCCGACGGTGCCTATTTCATGGTCTTAAATATTCGAATGATCTCGGTTATGGCGGTGTTCGGGAGAAAGTACTTGCGTACGATGTAGGCAAGTTCTATCCGCACGTCAACCTCATCTGCCATTTCCTCAGACGAGGCTACAGATGGCGCATCTGGCATGTCCTCTTCCCCCAATTCGGCTGCTTCAGATCTCACGGATGCGGCGCTACTAGGCGGTGATGGCGCATTCGAAGGGGGCGATGGAGATTCCCTGATGGTTTCAGCAGCGTCGACGGTCGTATGCGCGTCAAAACCACGCCATGAACGTAACCCTTGGCCCGTCTATCCAGCTGCTCTGCTATGCATAGTTTAAATGATCTCTGATGCACGCACATACGCTGGTTGTTCCTGAAGGTGCAGCCGCACCATTCGCACTCCTCGCGAGGCATAGTGGGGAGGCAGCATGCGGCATCGGGATGCCCTGCGGTGGCACAGAATAGCGGCCGATTCTAGAAAATTAATTACCAGATTTGCATATGTGGTTAGCGCAAGCACTGTGCTGAGATTACAAGAAGGACATATCTATGACGGAACTGTAGCGGTACCCGGATGACTCGTGCACGGCGCGAAATGGAGAGTGCGTAACCCTCGTAGGTTACTTCAGTACATTAGACATTTGTCACACATGTCGGGTAATATATTGGCGGTTTGGGGATATGCCTAAGATTTAAATTTTTATAAGTTAAGGTTTGTTTGCTAATGCACGAAACCATGATGCATAAATAATGATTGTCTGTAACTGCATCGATAACTTTGAAAGGGAACCACACCCTTTCACACCGACTCAGGGAAATATGCAGCTGTCTATATCACGGGCTCGTGCGCCGACGCTTCACATTACGATCGGGCATTAGCATCTCTGACAGCCTCAGCCACTGTTTGATGGTTGAAAAATCATTGATTTTGCCGGAATCTGCATGGATGATCCAGCGAGAGTGTGCTTAGAGCCATAACACTCACAAAATGCGATTAGACATGTAAATGCGGAACACGTTCAAGGACTCACTGTCTATGGCCTTCGGCTCGTGCTGGTGTCCAAGTCTGGGTGGACGGACGCGCTCCCCTTGCCAGGCATCATCTGGGTGGAGTGGTGGAAACAGGCAATGTCACTTTACCATTCCCAGACCGTCCCAACGATCCATAACACGGAATGCGATTGGTGCACACAGGCTCACTGGAATTGGAGTAGTACGGCCCATGGGTGCAGTACCATTTGCTGCAGTATTATTCAGAGTACCCCTGGGGAGGCCCTGAGAACGTCCTTGAATACCGTTGTCGCCTAAAACACAGAGGTTGTCTTGTGTTACACGAGACCCTCTGGCTGCTTCACCCGCGGAAGCGGCTGATCACAATGTCGCAACGCGTGGCTTGACGAAGGAACTGCATGATAGACCGCTAAAGAGGATGCTATTCAACAACTCGCTAACCCCTTCTCTTAGGACAGGGGTTCCCCTCAGGCAGGAAGGTGAAGTGGGCGGTGCAAGTCATGGATGGGGGGCGCACGACGAATGCGCAGGCGACCCGTAGGTGAGCGCTCATGGCGGACCTGCAGTGAGCGCCCTCGTGCGGACGGGCGGGAAGCATGACAGGGGGCGACGATACGGCGGTGTACATCGTGGTGGACTACGACCCTGACGCACGGGTAGCCGGTCTTCCTCGAGGGATGCCATCGGATGAGCATATCCATGTAAGTAGTTTCGAGTGACGGACCGCCCATTCCTCGCGTGGTGTATTCCGAATCCGAATTGTGAGTTGTATAATGTATTATGCCTCTTGCATGCCCCCCATTGATGCCTAAACCCAGGAGTACGCAAAGCACGCGTGGGAGCTGATGGTGCGCCACACCCGGGCAAAGGCGGTCACATACTTCCCAAAGAACGGCGTATGGAACGAGGCCCTACGCCTATCCCTTCGGCGGCACTACGACGTGGTGGCTATCGACATCAGGGTGGCTATGGGGAAGACGAAATACAGTGGAAAGGTCGGCAAGGTGTTCTCACAGTTCCAGAATGAATCATCGAATGAAGCGCGACATGTAATCCTCGCCGCGCTTGAGATCGACGCCGGTGGCCCGTACAAGCAGGAGATCCACCCCGACAAGAAGGTCTCACTCTGGCGGTCATATGGTCCGAGTGAGTAGTCGGGAGCAGGGGGGAGGGTGGAGGGGATTTAATTATATGAGGGGGTGGGGATGAGGACAAGGTTTGAGACCCATGCTGCTTGGCAGAAGCAGTGCTGCACATGGTACAAATGGGGCCGACCCGGCGGGTTCGTGACGTCATTAGGTGGGCTCTATTCCGTGCGCATGACTGGCTATATGTTCTTTCACTACCATAACCCTCCTGTGGGCCCGTTGCTTGTGTATGGGCAGGAAAGCACGCTGGATTTGTGATTTCCATCTGGAGTCACACTGAAAGGGACCGGAGGCCCTTTACGAATGCGATATTCATGAATGCGTGTCTCGCGGCATACCCAGAGTGGGAGCGCGGGACTTGTCTTATGCTCTTGCGGTATCACATCGTATGGGTCATGATATCGGTACGTATGTCACGACACCATTGGTTGACGCTTTATGTTTGGACCATCGTCTTGCAAGGCCTAAGACCCGCCACTGTTTATGATGTCTGATTAGGTGGATTTTGGGCTACAAAACCTGCGGGACTCTACCATGCACTTGAGCGGGAGCCCACTGGAGACGGAGATTTGCATGAAGACTGCCATGGACCGAGTGTGGCAGGTGATTCGGATGTGGCTGGATATGGCACGGGGACAGTGGTACGACCCCAAGATGAGGGCGTACCGGTGGGGGAAAGAAGGGTTGTACATTAATGCGAGTGATTTGAGCGAGTTTAGGCCCGAAACTATTCAAACAGCCCTGTGACTGAGGAGGCGGATCCGTGCCCCTGGCTGATTAGACCGAGATGAGATTTTTATGGCCAATATATGTGATTCCGTAACTAATAAGCCGGGCCTTTCAGGCTGTGATCCGGTTAGTGTACTAGTTGAATGTGTGTGTCTATGACATGTATGATGCTGGTTGGCCAAGTGTAGTTGTGTAGTGTTTTCGACATTTTATTTGTAGTAGTGGCATTATTTAACCGAACTGCATGTCTGGCACCCGAAATCTCAAGTCGCATATTGTCAAGCGCGCTCGGATATGATTGGCTGTTGCATTGTCCCAAATGTGTCCTGGCGTAGTCTCGAAACTGTCTTGGAATTGTCCATATCGGTCCCGCAAGAGCCTTTTGGGCAGACTCGGAGGAGTCTTGCGGGACCAAATAGGGACTCTTTAAAACATCACCCCAGAATTCATGAAAGACCCTTTCGGGGGGGCCACCCAAAAGTGTCCCGAATGTCACTTGCAGGATGTTTTCGGGAAGCATTTGGGACATGAGATTTTGGCGATGCAAGCATCCTAGCACCCGGCCCAGCTATGCGCCATATACGACCCTACTCGACAATACTAGATTGTCGCGTCTTTGTACTTCTTGTAACTCGCTCCCTTTCTATCAGCTTTGGGCTGGAAAAACCGCGACGGACGGATGGCTTGAGATGGAGATAATAGGTTCCAACATCAGAAACATAATCTGACGTCATTATCAGGCTCCAAGAACAAAACTTGTCACGATCCTGACGCCGTCAGCAACGAGCAGCGGCGGCAATGACGCAGGGTAGTGGTAATGGTAGTGGTAGTGGTAGTGATAGCGGTAATGATACGGGTGATGTAGGTGGTATGGGACGAGGGGGGGGAGGTAGAGGAGGAGGAGGACAAGCTCGTAAGCCATGCCAGACATTGCTCCTAGTCATTGATAGGGACGGTTGCAATGGCGACAGCAGCAGCAGCAGCGGAAGCAGCAGCGGAATTAGCAGCAGCAGCAG